TGGTGAAAGATGAGCAGCTGAGAGCTTGAACTCCAGTAAAATGAGGATGACCAAAAACTTCCCAAAAAAGAAAAAAAAAAAAAATCAGAGAAATCTAAGAGCCTGGAAGAAGAATGTACTAGGAGAGGCCAAGTATAATATAAGAAAATCATGGAGTGAGTGGGAGAAGCAGTGGAGATGCTGAAGCACGTGCAAAGTGAGAGGGAACAGCAAGTCCAGTGCCAGCCCCATGGAGGGAGGCTGGGAGGGATGGGGAAGTGAGGTGCCCAGTGATCAAAACCCTGCTGAAGTTCTGCTCACCCTTTCTAGCAGCTCTGGAGCCCCCATCATGACCAGTGGACACTGGCTGAGGTCTTCTGACACTGTAGCCACCTCAGTGAACCCAGAGGTCACCAGTTACATGAGCTAAGAATCAGAGGGGACCCCAAGGCTTCAGGCAGAGGTGGGGAAGAGAAGAAAGGAAGGAAAAGGGAAAAAGAGAAGGGAGGAGAGAGAGAGGCAGAGCGATAGGGACCCCAGGGCAGTACAGTGTCAGAAAAGGAAAGACAAAGAGAAAGAAGGGAGAAAAGGTGAGCTATTTAGGTTCACAGATAGACCCACAGAGGCCCGCCTGCCCCGTAATAGCAGTGAACTCTAGGATGAGAAGCAGTGTCAGCTCATCACCAGGAGTCCGGAAAGAAAATGCACTTGGCATCTTAAGCAGAGCCAGGAACACATTGTTACTGCCCACGCTTCCCTCTTGCCACCCACCACCTCCACTTAATCCCAGAGGTGGTGATGGGGGCAGAAAAGAACCCACAACCATCAGAAGAAAGATCAGGTTCTGGAAGGATCAGGTCTGAAGTAAAGGGCTTGGTGGGTTCATACCAATGGGTGTGGGACCATTTCAAAGACCTCAACATCCAAGATCCCATCCCAAGAGCAGAAAATGCAGGAGAAACAGAGGAAGGAACTGATGGCGTTTAACCTCGAGAAGAAAAGACTTTCTTGAAGATTTGGCAAGAAGGCTGACTGCTAGCGCCCCTTTCACCACTGACGTACTTCGATTTTATAAAGTATTTTGAAGGGTTCCCATGAGAAAGAAAGATCAAACTTATTTTGTGTGGCTCCCCAGGGATAAATTAGGAGACATTTGCAAAGAGACTGATTCCAATGTGACAAAAGGGAGCTTTAAACACTGCCAGGTGTTTTGGAATACAATCAGTTACCAGTGGACTGTCACTGATGGGATGTGTAGCAGGAATTCCGAAGAGCCAGGCGAGGTGGTACCTACGGCACATTCCAAAACACTGGAGCACACCTGATGCGAACAGCTGACTCATTGGAAAAGTCCCTGATGCTGGGAAGGGTTGAGGGCAGGAGGAGAAGAGGGCATCGGAGGATGAGAGGCCTGGATGGCATCACCAATGCAATGGACGTAATGCCTGGATGGCATCACCAATGCAATGGATATAGTGGACACCAATGCAATGGATATACAATGGACACTAATGCAATGGACATGGCATCACTGATGCAAACTTTGGAAAATGGTGAGGGACAGGGAAGCCTGGAGAACTGCAGTCCATGGGATCGCAAAAACTCAAACACAACTGGGCGACTGAACATGTTACGTTCCAATAAACATGCCCCTGAGCAGTAGGGATTGGGGATAAGCAGGAAGGTCAAGGGCTCCAGTGAAGCCTGATCAAGCCCACAACTGTCAGCTCCTACAACAGGATTATAAAAATGGAAAATCATATCGCCTTCAATGGGCCTTCCCTCCCAGCAAACTCATTTCATGGGAGAAAGAGCTGATGATTGGCAGTGGTGGTCACCCACCAGAATGTGGGCTGGCTGGCACCCAAAGGTCACACTGAAGGCCAGGAAGCCAGGTGTGGAGCGACAGATGTTTTAGAGACAAACAGGAGAAGGGAAATTTTCTTAAAAGCTTCTGACTGGGAAATCACAATGCTAAATGTGAACTTCTCGGTGGATAGGTCGCGTGGGGCAGGTCAGGAACTGCCTTGCGAATTTGGTTTTTCAGCCAAGAGAGCTTGCCTGATTCACGAGAGCTGTCATGTCATGGAGCTCTGACAGCACAGATGCCATGGGGCAGGGTTTGAGAGAATAGGGGCTGGAGTCAGGCTGCCAGCACTGAAAGGCTGCTCTCCTGCTTAAGCTGTGAGGCTTCGGGTGAGTAGCTCAACCTCTCTGTGGTCAGAAGTCCTCTGCTTTGGAGTAGAGAAAATAGCAGTATTCATATGTGCCTCATCGGATTATTTTGAGGGTTAAACATTTAGAATGTTTATGACACTTTTTTTTTCCTGTCATTTTTTTGGTTTGCTTTCAGTGGTGGTGCTCAGTCATGTCCGACTCCTTGCAACCCCATGGATTGTAGCCCACCAAGTTCCTCTCTCCATGGAATTTTTCAGGCAAGAATACTGGAGTGGGTTGCTATTTCCTACTCCAGAGGATCTTCCCAACCCAGGGCTCAAACCCAGATCTCTTGCATCTCCTGCATTGGCAGGCAGATTCTTTACCGCTATGCCACCTGGGAAGCCTGGTTTGGTTTACTCTTTATTTACTTGGCTGCGCCAGGTCTTAGTTATGGCATGCAGGTGGTGTCTTTAGTGGCAGTATGTGAACTCTTTACTTGTGGGCATGTGGGATCTCGTTTCCTGACTGGGGATCAAATCCGGACCCCCCACATTGGGAGCTCGGAGTCTTAGCCACTGGACCACCAGGGAAGTCCTGACACTTGTTTTTAATGTAAGTCACTTGAAACAAGTCCTAGAGATTAGGAAGACCTACATTTATTATACGGTTATTATTTTTCATGCTTTTGAAGGCAGCAGGATGGGAAAGGAAAAGCTTAGACTTTGGAATGAGTTAGAGCTGAGTTCAATTTCTGCTCTCCATGCCCTTGGTTCAACAGTTGTAAAAAGAGGGTAAAAATACCACACACACACATACACCTGCCCGCCCGCAAGGTTGGAATGAGAAGTTAAATATGTGTCTGGTTCGGTTGCCTGGCATATAGAAATATTCAGGAAATCTTAGTTCCCTTCTCCTCTTCCCCATTTTGATGTGTTTCATCTAGGTGCCAGGGCATTGTACTAAGATATAGAGTCAAAAATGTGAATGAGATGTGGTCTCTGTCCTCAAAGGGCTCACATCCAGAAGGAAAGGCTGGACACACACAGTGACAAGGTGCCATACAAAGGCTATGATGGAGTTATCGATCCATTTACCTAGGAGGCAATGTTTCAGCTAGGACTTGAGGCAAGGGCAGAACTTCACAGAGCTGGTCAAGAAGCGGGTGGGGGGATTTCAGGCAGTGTAGGAAATGCACTGCATCCATGTGCGAAAAAGAAAGCCTGCGATCACTTGGGATCACCAGCCACCCCTGTGTCTGCCTCTGGATTTCTGTGCCAAGACCCCTGGGGCCCGTGCAGGATACCCTTCCTCTCCGTGAAGAGGTGGCCCATCTGGAGAATTAACAGGAGAAGCCATGGCAGAGAAGATGCTCGGGCAACCAAAAGCTGCGTGTGTACATTTCAAGGGGAAAAAAACAGGAATGAAAAAGCCCATAACAGGTGAACAAATCAGAAACATGAAAGGTCTCAAAGGTTTCTATAGGACAGAGCTTTGTGCCAGCCCAGGGCTATGATGCTGGGAGATGTCTGGCTGCTTCATCAGTCATTTCACTGAACTCACAAGCTCCCTCCACCTTGGCTGGGAAATGCGTGACCGTGGCCCCCCTCTCAGGACTGCTGGGACCAGACTGAAGCCCTGGTAAATGAGCCTCTGTCAGGGGTCCCACAAAATTGGTAGATTCGGAACCTTCCCCCAAAGCCAGCAACAGATGTCTTCAAGGAACCAAATCCATAGCAGAATTTTAGCAAAACCCAACTTCAGGAGCTTCTTCCCCAAGTGAATGAGACAAGCCAAGGCAGAACATTTTAAAAAGCTAGGGACTTCCCTGGCAGTCCAGTGGTTAAGACGTCGCTTTCCAATGTAGGGAGTACAGGTTAGATTCCTGGTCGGGGAGCTGAGATCCCATGAGCCTCAGGGTTGAAAAACCCACCAAAACATAAAACAGAAGCAAAATTGTAACACATCCAATAAAGACTTTAATTGATTAATTAAAAAGCTGAATGAAAGTGTCCAAAAGGGCCCAGGGGTTAGTGGAAGACCTGGAACCTGCTCAGGAGGGAAGAAAGATATCATCAGCTAAACAGCTGTGGGAACCCAGCTGTGAGAATGGCAGACTTAGATTCTCGGGTCCTCGGAAGTCACTCTCCTACCTCCTGCCCATCCAGGGAGGCTGTGCTTGGCAGACTGCAGTCAGGGGTGAGCAGCAGACTCCCCCAGGGAAGTGGCTAAGAGGGGACACCGGAAGTTCCTAAAAGGCAGGGCTGCCCCTGCTGGGCCCAGTCTGCCAGAGACCCAGGGACTTCTTCCAGCAGCTCAACACACATACTCATCTACACACCGCACACAGGCAAAACACCAACTACACACCAGGTCCAGAAGCTGCCGATATCCACCCACACATCAACACACTTGTTGGCACCCACCACCGGCTAAATGCAAACGGTCCACCCAAGCAGAGCACACACACCATTCCTCTATCCTACACACAACACACATACTCAAATAGCCACAGTACAGCATCTGCAAAAATAAACCCACAGCCACCAGATACACTGAGATGCCCGTTCACACGTACACACGGACATCCTACCCACTCTCAGCGCCTGACGCCCCACTCACACACTTGCTCAAAGGCCCGCATTAGACAGCGGCTTCGGGTTCTCGACAGTCCACCCGACACAGTGAGACGTGGCCTCACACTCATCCACACACGGCCCACAGACACGCAATGTTGCTACTCCACGTCTCTCCTGCCAGCCCCGCACAACCCGACACATCTGTGCAGCTCATCCCCCACCCGGCCGGCGCTGGCAAGAGGCTTCCCTCTCGGTGTGCAGCGGCCACAGTGGCCAGGAATTAAAATGCAGCGAGGAGGAGCCGCGCGCGTCAGCACCGCGTCTCCGGGAGCGCACGGCGCTCGCCGCCGCCGCCCCGCTGACGACGAGATCGGGCTTTTCTGGAGATTCGAGGCACTTCGCAGAGCCGTGCGGGGCGGGGAGAAGCGACACTTGCCTCTGGCCAGCAGCACTGAAGGAGCCCGTCGGCCGGCAGCCTCCGGCGGGACCCTGAGACGCCCCCAGCCCCGGGCGAGGGCGGTCACATTGCAACGCAGGACGCGGGCGGGGCAGGACTCGGGGGAGCCTAAGCAGGTCTCCGCCGAGCGCATCCAGAGGAGCAGTTAGGAGGGTCCCGGAGGAAAGGGAAAGAGGGCCAGCAGGGCGACCGCTCATCCTGGTACACACCCACCCCACCCGCCCAGCCAGGAGCGGCCGCGCGCCTCTGGGGGCGCTCGTCCCCCGGCACCTTCTCCCCCACCGTGTCCCAGCACCGCGGGCCACCGGCGGGCGGCCCTTGGGGATGTCCGAATCAGGCATGGTGGCCGAGTGGCTGCTCTCCCGGGACCAGCGTAAAAGCTGGGGTTAGGCGGAGCCCGGAGGGACTCAGCTTGCCGTCGCTGAGCCGCGCTAAACTGCACGGGCTGCGGCACATGTGCGCGGGGCGCGCGGCGCCCGGGGGCTCCTTCCAGCGGCGGGCGCTCTGGGTGCTGGCCTTCTGCACGTCCCTCGGCTTGCTGCTGTCCTGGTCCTCGAACCGCCTGCTCTACTGGCTCAGCTTCCCGTCGCACACGCGTGTGCACCGCGAGTGGAGCCGCCAGCTGCCCTTCCCCGCCGTCACCGTGTGCAACAACAACCCGCTGCGCTTCCCGCGCCTCTCCAAGGGGGACCTCTACTACGCCGGCCACTGGCTCGGGCTGCTGCTGCCCAACCGCACGGCGCGCCCGCTGGTCAGCGAACTGCTGCGGGGGGACGAGCCGCGCCGCCAGTGGTTCCGCAAGCTGGCCGACTTCCGCCTCTTCCTGCCTCCCCGCCACTTCGAGGGCATCAGCGCCGCCTTCATGGACCGCCTGGGCCACCAGCTCGAGGACATGCTGCTATCCTGCAAGTACCGCGGCGAGCTCTGCGGCCCGCACAACTTCTCCTCCGTGAGTGGCCCTCCGCGCCAACCCGCTCCCTCTGCTCCCCCACTCTCCCCAGCCCCGGGGTCTGGCAGCTCTTCCCCGGCCCGGGGGCTGGACCCCAGGCCCCCAGAGGTGACATCAGCCCAAGAGGCCCCGGGGCAGAACCTAATCTTAGGTCCCCCGCATCTTCTCCGGGTTGTGGGAACTCGGACGTCACTGCAGGAGGAGTCGTCTGGCTCCCTTGTTCCGGCCTCTCTCTTTGCACCCAACCCCCCTCTGGGAATACCAGCCCCGCTTCTTCCAGGCCTCACCCCCACCCCCTACCCCAGGATAGGGGTAGCTACTCTGTGTTTGGGGTGAAGGGATGGGAAGACAGAGAAGCCTGTCTGAAGTGTGGGCTTGTTGTCTTTGGGAAACTCAGTAGGAAGCTCTTTAAATACGGGCAGGAATCAGGTAGAGCCCCTAAGCTCGCTGGGGACTCTAAGTAGTTTATGACTTGAGAGTTCCCAAACACTTCCAATTTGGGAGACTTTGGAGGAAACCCCCAGAATACCAGTCAAGGATGAAGCTGTACCTAGTTTGGTGGGAGAGGCAGCAGCCCCTTCTGATACTTTTTAAACGAGCTTGTGTCCTAGGCAATTTGGAAATGGAGCCTGGTGGGCGCCATGGGGCCCCTTGACCCCACAGGGTGTGAGAAGGGGTCTGTCCCTCCAGGGGAGCCAACGCCCTGCAGTGGGGAAAGCAGCGTGGCAGAGATACTGAAGCTGTGCTCAGGGTTTGTAAACGTTTTGTTGTGCTGTTTCTCCCATGCTGGGGTCTGGGTAAGGCAGCTGTCAGACAGAAGGTATCTGCCTTGTGCGGTCTGCCTAGGAGGAGTTGTGATGCCAAGCCTCAGCGTGGCACCAGCCTGTCCAGCCATTCGTGTGTAAATGCCCCTTCCGGGGGGTTGGGCTTTGCCACCAGTGCTGGGAATGTTGGTGTGTGCAGTTTGTTCATAATGTTCTGATGGTGATTTTACCAGCTTTAGGCATTCCTCCTGACCGTCTCATCTCTGACAGTGCTTTTTTAGGATAGTGAAGAGATCCTTTGGTTCCAACAGGTGTTGGCACAGATGCCCATCAGGCCAGGCCTCTGATCGGCTGATTGGCCCAGGCCTGGTCTAGGATGGTGACCCTGACTTCAGTCTTACTCTCTTTGTTTTGCTTTAAGCCTGTGTTTACGGTAGCTGTGAATTATCCACTCCCAGAATATCCCTGGTTTCCTGAGCTTTTCAGCTTGCTTTAAAAGAATACCTACTTTGTGGTTCCCCCACCTTAGCAAGCAGGAGGTGCTGTTAACATAAATGTTTCTAAGTGACTTCACCCAGACTTTAAATACAATTCTGAGTTCCATCTAACAAAGATAGAGGAAGGAAGGTCATGATCCTTTGTTTACAGTAAGTTCCTTACATACGAATCTTCGAGTTGCGAACTTTCAAAGATGCAAACCTACCTTTGCCTGTCCAATCACATAAGTCAGTTCACGTGTCTGGAGTACATTGTCATATGCATGCATCCTCTCCAAGTGGCTATGTGTTTGTGTAGTTAATCTACAGTATTGTATAGAAGACAGTAGTACAGTATCTTTATTTCAAGCCCAGGATGTCTGGAAGTAAGCATAAGAGGGGCAGTGATATAGCTGGTACTACTGTACTTTTCAGGGTACTATGCAGTAAGATGAAAAATATTTTCTGTATTTTTTATTTGTTTTTTTATGTATTACTTGTGTGAAAAATATTATAAACCTGTTACAGTATGGTACTATATAGCCAATCGTGTTAGTAGGGTACCTAGGCTGACTTTGTTGGACTCACAAATGGGACGCATGAACGTGTTCTTGGAACAGAACTTGTTTGTATGTGGGAGCTTGTTGTGTTGATCTTTGGCTGACCACTAGCTAGCAGCCCCTAGAGTTAGACTGAAGTTCAGTGTTACATTCGAGTATCAGCAGCTCCAGTTCCAAGCTATACAACACCTGGAAAACTCAACACATCTGATGATGGCTTTACAAAGCGTGGCTCGCGGGCTAACCGCCAGGATTCACTTTTGACGTTTACCACAACCCTGCTTCGGCAGAGTTTTATTCCTATGTTAAAGAGGAGGGCTCTGAGACGCTAAAACGCTGTCCAAAGCCCAGAGTCAGCAAGCTCAAAGTCCAACTTTGCATACCACCGGATGCACACACAGAAGCCACCTGGAACCTTCCTCTCTGACCCTGGGCCTCTCTTCTATCAGAGGACCCCTCGGTATGACTCTAGCCCTCAGCCACCTCCAAATCCTGTCCCTTCTGGGAGCATGGCTGGAAGAGTGGAAACTGGCCCCCTGCAGGGGGATCATAGCCTTGGCCACTTGTTAGGGGTCTACATAGTGCCTGCAGAAGTCATCTGACCTCAGCCCCCCTGGCAGGAATGGCCCTGGGTTGATGAAAATCGGGTTCTTCTCACTGGGGCACACCCTTCTGTGATCACCCATAGCCTGCCTTCCTGTGTCTGAAGATTTTGCAGGCCCACACCCACCTAAACCAAAGTGCTCTTCCATACCTCCAAAGGCATGTGTTCCTGGGGACTCAAGTGACCCCTAGTGGCTTCATATCATGGCACTGTCCTGGGATTTTCAGCGCCTTCACATTTCATGCTGTAGTTTTTCTCCAAGGGCCTCAGGTTTAAAGATTGCACCCCTCTGTCCATGGAGGCCAGAAGCTATTTCAGGGGAGCCCCTAATATACAGTGGGTGGGCCCATTAAGGAATCCTCTCTTTAACCACTCTACCCTGCCCCAAGCCTTGGTCAACTTTGATGAAGGAACACTATAGTGTGTAGTGGTTAAGAGCATGAACTCTCAGGATGAACTGATGGCTCAAATCCTGAGAGGACCACTTGCTGTGTGCCCTTGGACAGGTGACTTAATCTCTCTGTTCTTTAGTTTCCTACTCCATCTAGTGGTGGTGACAATAGTACATACACTACATTCTCTGTGATTATGAGCTTCCGAGGTGGCTCAACGGTAAAGAATCAGCCTGCCAGTGCAGGAGATGTGGGTTCAGTCCTTGGGTGGGGAAGATCCCCTGGAGGAGGGCATGGCAACCCCCTCTAGTATTCTTGCCTGGAGAATTCCATGGACATAGAAGCCTGGCGGGCTATAATCCATGGGGTCACAAAGAGTTGGATACAACTGAATGAATGAGCATGCACGTAGGTATGTGTGAGATGGGCACTCTAAAGACTGTGCTGGATCCCCATAAAAATGCCGCCTTTAAAGGGCATCAGCCTCCTCTCTGGCCTCCAGCCCTCTGCATCCACCCTTGGTGCTATGTCAGAGCAGTCTTTCTAAAGTTCCTCTCAGAGCATCGCATCCCATTTCTTCAAACCCTTCAGTGACTCACCTGTCCTAGGCCCTGGTTCCTCAGACCCCGAACCTGGGCCCTGCCCTATCTCTGGCCATGCTCTCTCTGGTACCACGTGCCCAAGCTCTGCTGAGCAGCTGACAACAGCTGGGCTGCTTCCTCTTCTGCCCTAAGTGCGCCTTTGCCACACCTAGCTGCTCTGTCTGCCCGGGGATGCCCAGTCATCCTTCAGCCTCCAGCCCTGGGGTTCCCTCTCTTTTGAAGCCTTGCCTGACCACCCACCACCTCCGCTCCTCTCCAAACAACTGATGCCTTCCTCTTTTTTGCCCTCTACCCCCCGTTTAGGTGTCAATCCTCACGTGCATACGTGTCACCACACTTTCCCCCAGCCCCCAACACACCGTCCTGGACTCGAGCAGGAAGCAGATCTGATTTCCCTGACATCCCCAGCCCCCAACACAGACCCTGATATGCATATTAAGCACTCAGGAATGGTCTGGGGAGTGAAGACCTTTCCCAGGTAACCCCAAGACTTCTCATTGTCCTCCAGGATTCCTGAGTTAATTTCTCCAGGGAATACCAGGGGAATGCCTTTCTAATGAGGAAATGCCCAGTCAATTCGGGGGCATTTATTACTTTGGGGAGCAGAGGGAGAGAGAGTGAGGATGCCAAGATACCTGGAGTTCCCAAGGCCTAAGTGGCTCAGGTGAGGGATGAGCTTCCTGGGGGACCAGTCGGGAGATGTGCCGCCAAATCTCACTCCATCCTGTTGGCCTCAGGCTCCAGAAATAAGCTCGACAGGGGAGATCAGAGAGTTGTGGGGGATATCTGTTGGGTTTTAGTCTGCAGGCCATTCAGGATGTGGTTATGTACAGCTCCTCTGTATCTTTGTCACAGCTGCGAAAGGGTTAATCGCTCAGCGGTCAGACGAAGCAGCTCCGCTTCTGAATGTTCCTGTGATTTCCCTGGCATGTGCCGTGGACCTTGGGCTCTGAACACTCTGGCCAGTCTGGGCTTTCCCGGGGGCGGGGAGACCAGCCTTCCCCAGTAATTGGACAGGACACGGAACGATGAGGCCAGGCTCTGTGGGCATGGAGCCTCAGAGGAGGGCCTGAGGATCTGGGAACAGCTGCAGACAGAGGCCAGTCAGGGCCCAATGATAAGAAGCAGTGATGTTCTCTGGGAGGAGGCAAGGGTCCGAGGAAGTGTCCAGGCAGACCTCAGTTTAAGGCTTTGGCTCTGTCCCTTTTTAGCTGTGTGCCTCTCTCGCTAAGCCCCTGAAGGCTGGGAAGAAGATGATACATTTGCAGTGACCAGCCAGCTGCCTGAACAACATAGGAGCTCAGTATTGAAGAGCTGTTGTTATGATTTGATTAAGAGATAGGCGCAGTCTTTGTATCTCATGGTAGCAGTTATTAACTATGATCAATATCATTATCATCTCTTATCAGGAGCACTTACCTGAGTGGCGATGTGCTCATTTCCTGGTTCATTCATTCCAACACCCAATGTATACTAAGTGTCAACTGTATGTCATGCTCTGAACTAGCTGCCAGGGATGGAACGTTAAATAAGGCATGGGATGTGTCCTCCGTGAACCTGCGGTGTTGCTGAGGAAAGAGATAACAGCAACAGATGCCGGGA